CAAAATAAAGGATAATGGGAATCCTATACACCTGACTTTTTACTTTAGCCTGTAATCAAGGGGACTAATCAGACCAAGATGTGTTGGCATGAAAGCAAATATTCGATGAGAGGGGGAGGAGAACAACTTTTGTGACCAAATTCTTAGTCATCATGGACAAGCCCTCCAAAACCAGTGAAGATTAAGAGAATGTAAACTATAGCATAATACATCCTTTTGGATTATGAATATCTCCAAAGCAATAAGGAGATAAACCATAGTTCTCATGACATATGTGAAGTGCTCATGCCCAAACATCAGCATTTTAATGTGATAATTTTATCAGTTGTTTCTTGGCTTTTACATGTTATTCAGCCAGTTCTGCAGCCATTCTGCGTACAGTCTCTTTACAACTGTATAAATTATCTTCTCCTGTTCAGTGAATGCCCTTAGGCTAAGATGAAGAGGACAGATGAATGTAAACGAAGACACAAGCCCAGCCACACTGAAGGGGAAGAGTCAGTTTGGACAGGAAAGAACAGTGGACCTATTCAGGATTGCCTCAGCCTCTACAGGTGGGGTGAGGTGACAGCCAGAACCAGGCAGACAGGGAATCCTCCAAAACATCAAATGTTGGTAGTTCAGCCAGAGTCCCTCATGACTCCCTAACAGCTCCCCTCCCCTAATGCCAGGTTAGTGCAGTGCTAAACTTTTCATTCTCTTGTGGGGAGTGCAGTGGGTGTCTCTTTCGGGATGAGGAACCTCACTGCAAACAGTGTTCTGCTTGTCTGACCCTTCCCCATGGCAGCTCACCATCCTGGTGGATAGGTAGGAGATGAGCTGCAGCAACTTGAATCTCAAATGAGAAACAGATGTTGAGTGGAGTCCATGGAGGGGCAGTAGGACAGAGGTGCAGGACGAGACTAGGGATGAGAGTTTCTCATGCCTATTGCTTCAGTGGAATAACCACTTTCCTAACTTTGTAACCTTGGTGTGAGCAGAGAGTGGTCAGCTCCTAGCAAAAAGCTGAGGACCAGCTGTCAGGGGCAGGAAGGGGTTTAAGGAGCCAACATTAACTTTGCACCAGGTGGTAACAATTAAGGGAGAGATCCTGACCTGCACTGTACAAGTTACAGCTCAATGACTCCCATATGAGTTCAGTTAATAAAGTTGTGGCCTTGAGAAAGCACATCCCTTGGGTCTCATGTGCATCTCATCTTGTCTCTCTTCCCCTCCTCTCACCCCAGATTAGAAATCAGCTCCTGGCCTAGTTTAACAGCCATTACAACAGCCCAAACTGCACTGCATGGCACAGGATGAATGGAACAGCACTGCAACAACTGAGAAAGGAGCAATATCCATTCCTAAACACTACAATATTTTAGTCACCCTTCAGGATGGATTTTAGTAATCTTTGAATTTCTTTATTTCTCATTATGTCAATGAAATCCCTGAATCTCTCCCACAGCATTAAGAAGTCCAGCATGATTTTATAGTGCATCTTGCACCATTATCAGTGACCCTAAAACCACATCTGGATGGAGATTCAGAGTCACAGAATATTCTGAGTTCAAAGGGACCTACAAGGATCACTGAGTCCAACACTTAAACAATTGAATGAATATGACCTTGGCATTATTAACAGCATGCTTTACCCAACTGAGAAACTGATTTGGATATTTCTTGTTGTGCATGTTACTCATCCTGCACAGTGTCCAGTCGGTGATTATTTACACTTTGTATAATCAGAACATGCTGTAAAGCTTAGAACATAAGTATGATGCTATTAAAATCCACTGTACTGAGGTTATTATTTATTTACATAACCTTTTCAACAGAAGAAAGGACCTAAGGGATAAAGTATTTTCATACACAGAGATATGAACAAAGCATTATAAAAATATTTCTAATTACATTGCATAACACAGCAGTTTTCTATCAAATACTTAGAAACAGTCTGTATCTTTCATCCCCCAAATTACAGAAACAATAAAAGTTTTTCATTTTCTGCCAACATTTTCTTTCTATCAGTGTAAAACCAACTCTGTATCAGATTTTTAAAAGAAAGCCCTTGCCTCGAGCATTTAATTTGTATTGGTTCCATGTTTAGTCAGTAGCTTTTGTAAAATTGATGAATATTGTCTAAAGGCAAGTGCAGACAGGCAAACAGATCTGTATCTTCTGCAATCCATTTAGCCTGGTGCACACGTGCAAGTGAACTATTTTACCCTAATTCAGTCATGGCTGGTGAAAAGTAAATGTAAGCAAAGTCATGAACTTCGCCATTTAAAAAGAATCACTGAATTTAATGTCAGAAGTTAATTTATGTTCTCACCTCTTCCTTGAAAAAACTTGACCTTGGTTCTCATGCTTCTGGAGCAGCTAGGCTTGGCAAACACTTGATATACACAGAACTTTCATTAGAGGCTGTGTCTTCCAGTTCATCCAAAATAGAAATATGTTATCTAATGCTGGAATATAAATGGATTGCTAAAGTATCACTGCAACATGACTTAAATTATAACTATTTGAATAAAAAGAAAACCTCAAAGTATTTGTCAGCTTCTAGTACATAATCCCAACACAGAGATAATTTACACTTGATCTCCCAGGTTTTTTACATATATTTACCTTTAACTCTGTTCTTCTTTTGGGGTACCCTTTGGCATTACTATGTGCTTCAAACAGTTCCATCAACCTTATTCATGTCTTTGCTATCAACTCCTGTGGGCTTTGAAGATATGAAATCTTCTCATACTTCTGCATTTCAACCGAACTCAATCAACTTATACTGATTTAGATGATGTGAGACTGGAATGCAACACAGAGCATTAATCCTGTTTAATCACTTGATTATTGGTATTTTGGCAGTGACTCTTAGGTCTTATTCGGCCAAAGGTGTTCATTTTTCTGTGTCATTGCCATCCATGGCTTAAATGAGTGCTATGTGACTGCACTGAGACTAGTACTAGTTCAGCTAATTCACTACCTTAAATCTTCAAGCATAGGCAAGACCTGGGAACGTGCATTTTTAAAAATTCTATTATTACTGCCACCAGTCTCCTAATAGTGGTTTGGGTTTTTTTCTACTGCTGCTGGAAATAATTATTTGCTGATCATTTTTTAATAGCTATGCCTCCACTTCAGCTAAAAACTACAACATTAATGTGCCTTGTCCACCCTTTGTGGCAGTCAGATTCCTTTCAATACTGTGATCCCCACGGTTTTTAGCAGTGCTTAATTAAACACAAAGTAATCATAAAGTAACAGCATAAATAAACAGTCCTCTCAAACACTGTGTTAACAGTGTTACATCATTAATTCGTTTGAATTCATATTGCTCATTTCCAAAGCAATATCTGTTTCTGAGAACTGCTTTTTTCAAAAGCAGAATTCCCACAACTTCAGCTAGCTTTTCCCTAAGTGATCTCCAAAGTAAACAGTGTTTAGTGTGGCACTAATCCAAATACGTGCTATTTGCCCACTGGTAAAGCCAGCTTTAGCTGGTGCAGGAAAGAAAAAGCTATGCCCATAACAGTATTTCCGAATGTTATGAAATCTGTGGCACAAGAGACAATAGATAAATGAGTGGATCAAGGTAATAATATAATCAAATCCACTTTAGGTAATAAATTATTCTTCAGAGAGTCTTTACATTCTACAGGGTGGCTAACAGTTTTTGCAGAAGCCCAGGACTACAATGAAAACACTTGATTCAGGTCTTTATAGTTTTGCTGGCACAACTACGCCAAAAGTGTTATGAGGTACAATCTCTACTTGATATAATTGTTCTGGCAAAAGCTTATAGGTGTGGACACAGTTTCATACCACTAAAACTGAATTTTTACTGGCACAGCTTCTTTAGCTCCAGGGAGGTCTGGCACACGTTAGACTGTCAAAAGTACAGTTTTCGGCAGTACAAGCCTCATCTGCACGCAGAACTCTTTGCCAGTTCAGAATGCTGGTGTGCTCTGGGTGAGCCTGGCTTCAGCAGTGACTTTAAACAGAAGATTAACACAGGAGGCATATTCATTTCTTGGTGGCAACGTCAACCTCTGAGTCTTACTGGCTTCTTTTGTAGTGGTAATAGAGCCTGAGTGCTTTTTCGCTGTAATGATTTTATTCTGCTTTTTGTGGCAAAGTTGTACACCAGTTCAAGTTAAAATAGCAATTTAACCAAATCAAAATTCTGTCTCATTCAGGAGTGCTGTGTATCATTCAACATAGAATTGTTCTTTTTATAGCACGTTACTACAAAACAGATCACAAACAGCTTCATTTCTCATAGTCTTCTGGTTTTGTTCTCATAGATCTCATTAGATACTGCAATGCCCAATATCAAACCAACAGCCCAAATGGAAAGCCTTATTTAGGTCCATCAGCTCTTCAGGCAATGCACTGGGAAATCTTGCTTCAGAATAGAATTCACAACACACAGAATTCACAACACAAAATAATGCTTAGGAACTGAATTCTGAGCTCCAGGTTGCCAAGGAGGTGTAGATTCACATTGTATATCTCTCCCAGGACTGCTCAACTGCCATGATGCAAAACAGCAAGAAAGTCTTGGGATCTATATTAGGATGCTCCTCCGGAGCTCCTCATCTGAAAAAATGGTCTAGTAAGGAGCCACTGCTCCTTAAAGGACCATCTCCACCATCTCCTGCCCCTCCATCTTAGTGGAGGAAGAACTCACAGCTGTTTTGAAGATCTCCAGTAGGCTCACACCAACTTCACCTCTCATTAGGATGCCCAAATCATTAAGTCTGCTTTGCCACAAGTGTGAGATACACCTTGTGTAATTGCTCAAACCTGCCAAACCAGAGGCAGTTCTAGGCATTCATGGAAGCTGAAATTTAGATACCAAGGGAACCTGTGAAAACACATCGGCTGAGGGAGTTGGGCCTGTTCAGCCTCAAGAAGAGATGACTCAGAAGGAACATTATCAATGTCTATCAGTATGGAAATATTCAAGAACTGTCTGGATGCAATCCTGTGTCTTGTGCTCTAGAACAAGATGATCCCACTGTGGTCCCTTCCAACTTGATCCATTCTGTGCTTCTATGAAACATGGATATCCATGGGCTGTAGGGTCAATGGGAATTAGAGCAGAGGAGGACAGAATAAAGACTGGTTCCTGGACTTCAGGTCTTAAACTCATTTCTGTAAATTTGGGGGCTAGTCTTTTTTATTATGAGACAGTAACCAAGGTACTGTGTGATGACTGGTGAAATCTGCATTGACACATAAAACAACACATGGAGGAATCATAAAGCTGAAAAGGATTTATGTTAAATTACAAAGCTTTTCCCCAGATGATGAGCATCAATAATTCTAGGCTGGAAGGTCACTTGTTGTCCATTGAGTAAGATTTTGTAGATAAGCAATTACTTCTTCAAGATCATATGGCAGAGGCATATTACATTCATCATCACCTGTCCAGAAGGGATGACATTCTGGTTTCTGGTCTTCTGGCAAGCTCTCTGCTGCGTCTGACTGGCATCTGAAAAGAAAGGTAAGCAGATGAACTACTTAAGTAAAACTGTATCCAGAAACTGAATACTCAGCGAGGATATATTTGTGCATTAATTTAAAGAGAAAGATGATAATAAAAAAGAAATACGACATCTTCTGACCAAATGGATTGCTCATTTCCAGTGAAGTTGATTTCTGTTGTAGGCTTTGTATTTTCTATAGGGGTTTCTCAAAAAGCCAATCACAGAGAAAACTCAGTTAGTGTTCCTTTATATGGTGAATTATTTTTTCATTATCTCAGCTGTTATTTAAAGTATGTGATTAAACCATTATCAGATTTAAATGTTTGGCGGTTTCCAATGTATTACTAGATTATTGAGAAAGATTAAACTGAATTTACTGCATTAAGGTCAGGGGGGATAGATTAAACAATATTAAAGAATCCGGACTAGCTTTGTAGATTCTGGAGATTTACAAGTGTATCAACCTGCTTAGGTCTGAAAAAGGCAATATAAAAAGAGAAAATTCTATAAAGATAAATGGAAATGGAGGTTAATAACAACTTCCAGTGATGAATAGGTGGGCAAAACTTCAATAAAATTAAATTAAGAGGTTAGTGTATGTTAGTCCCCAGAGAAAATGTTTAAATTACAATGGTTTTTATTAAATGGATTATTCATCAATACTAGTGAAGTCTAATTATAATATTCAACTGAACTGCAGCTGGCAGAGGAAAGTTTTATAAGTGGTAACTATCACATCTCCAAAGATCAGACTGTAATACAACATGCTGCATCAAGAACATTGTCACACTTCAAGGAAGATTTCTCCCCCTCTTTTCCCTTCCCCTCGAACAATTTTGCATGTTGCTTATTCATCAGTTAATGTTCACAATGGGGCAAGACAAACAAAAATGCTGAGCATTACCATAATTTTGGTATATAGTGCAGGCCTATATAGCTCTTTAAAGAGATAACAAGCAAAATGTAGAAATGCATTTTTATCTCTTGTAAGACATTTTTAAAAAATTCATGTTCCATAAATCACACAATTGCAAGAATTTAGAAGTTGTTTTAAACATATGTGTGTCTTTCATCTCTGTTGTAGCATGAACTCTAAAAATACTGACACACGCAATTTCCTTGTCCATACTGTCAACCTTCTGGAAGAGACTGTTGCCAAATGAAAGATGCCTTCTTCTCTTGGGAATTATTAATAGCAGTGTAATCCCCATGAGAAAACATCCCTCAGCTTTACACCCATGTTGGTGGGTGGTTAATTGCCGCACCAGCATCCTGGGCACTCAATCCATCGTACATTACACTACAAGGACAGTATTAACACATAACATTCCAATATATCTTCAGCTCTCCACATCAGCCCCTGATAATAGCATCTGTTAACATGCACTAAGTACTATTATGTAGCACATCACTTCATAAATAATAAGATTAGCCGACCTCAGGGCCCTGGGAAGCGTAATGTGTTTAAATGTTCTCATTATTTATTTAAAACAAGAATTAAAGGAACAGAAGCTACTTGTGACAATCCTCTTAGCATAAATATTAAACTGTTTGCATTGATAAGCTGCACTGTACAGAATAACAGAGGATTTGTTTTGCTGGCTGCTTTATAATAGTTGTTAGAGCAAATGCAGTTTAGTGTATGAGTTCTGAGAGGTACTTAACTGATCGTGCCATCATGTTTGGAAGACATTTTCCAAATTATATAAAGGAACAGGAGAAAATTAATATGCAGGGAAAGCTGAAACTAATTACAGCATAACTCTATAAGGCTTTTAAAATATTGTTTTATTTTCTGCCTTGGCACAAAATAATATGATCTGTTTGGTGGGTAGTATAAGATAGTGAAGTTTAAGCATTTCAATCTAAAAGGGGATAAATTAACCATCTAGAGATTATTGCAGATGACAAAGCAGGAAGCTCAGCCAGTAAGTACTGCAGGCATGTTACGTGGTCTGCAAAACTCAGCTCATGATAATAATAAACATTCTCTCACACATCTGCTATTAGCAACACAGTTTTCACTGAGAGAAAAGACATATCAGCTTTTAGCTTCTTCGCCATTTCAGCACCCTTTCTTTAACCTTTCATGTCCTTTTGTTCCATTGCTCTCTCACACAAATGGATTGACCAGCTTTCCCCTCACATTTGGGCATTTGTGTTGCTGTAAATGTGGCAGCAGTCAGGGTGATGCTGTGGCTGGACAACCCATGAGCTTCTCACTACTTTCCCTTTTCTACTTTTGTTACCAACAGAGCTGTTGCTGAAAGGTCTCTCCACAACTAAGCATGTGCCTGAACTTCCAGACAGTCATGCACTCGGGAAGTTTTAGCCCAAGCATATTCCATGTGAGGGATTAGAGGACTGGAAGTGTTTTTGTGCAAGTCTGATGACAGAAATGCATCAATGTACTGTAAAAGCACGAAAAAGAGAAAGCAGTGTTGCAATACTCCAAGTTCAGCAATCCCACAGCTCCTTTGTCTTTCTGTTGGATTACTGCTCCTTTGCTTTATATAGCAAGAACAGCAGAACATTTTTGCATTTTGTGAATCATATATTTTGAACAAAATTAAAATCCCTATGATGCATCTGCTGACATCAAAGCCAACTCAAGCTGCTCCTATTTGAAGGTATGGGACTGGGTTCTAAGCAGTCACCACTCACCTGGCAGTTTGTTAGGCAATTCACCTGAATAGCAACCACAAGCTTGGACACAATCATACAATGATGTGCTTTGACTCAGGTTGCAAGAACAAGTCTTCCAGATGAGTATACTACTACTGATTTTACAAAATTTCTGTAGGAGAAATTGTTCCTACAATCGTCTTTAATTTGTAGCAGTGGAACAGAGCTCAATATCTTGAATATTTTAAAATGTGTTTTAAACTGAAGCAGAACAAAGGCACAGATGACTGCACACAATTATTTCAAAATCTTTTGTATCTGACAGCTAACATAAGTTAGCAACAATAACTCACAATAAACAGAAATTATTTTCCCAAATACAAAAGAAACTATGAGGTTCCATGTGGGAAAGACTGCAAACACAGAAGTACAGTGGTAATGGGAATGTACCAAGATTTATAATATTGTAAGTTAATGAAGGTATTCCATATCAATTAAAAACTGTTATTTGAGTTAATGGAGTCAAATGTCCAAAAGACAGTAGAACTAATCTGTGTATATCATACTTACAAAATGTGTAAAGAGTAGAAATCACGTGGGCTCTGAGATACAGAACAGATGCCAAATCAAAGGGCACCTTCAATACCTTATCTGCAGCAGAACAGAAAAACTGCTATGATACATTTCAAAGCCATTTAGCGCAAGACCTTGACAATATATGTTCACCAACATATTACAGAAAGGATTGTTTGTCAAAAGACGTGCAGAATGCACAGAACTCCATAGTCTCTGCTTTCTTACTAACACAACCTAGACCCGTAGCAGTTTCAATTAAAAAAGCCAATTTTTAAGGAACAATTAGTTACTGTTGCAGTGCACATTCTCACTACCTCTGCCCTATAAAGTTCACAGATTTTTGATCCCCTTTTTTCCTGTTTTTTTTCCAAATAAACTTTGCTCATTAATATTGACGAAGAACTATTAATGCATGTTCAACTAAGTGATGACAAACATTTGTATGACTGTATTTGTATGACTGGCATTTGCATGGCAATATATGCCACTTTCCCTGGAAGGTGGCTAACATCTCCATGGGCAGGTGTATCTGTTCACTGAGACTGACACTTGCCTGTTTATGGTTCCCTGGACTGCACTGACATTTTGATGATCAGGGTGTCAGCTACATCAGAGCACACTGATCACGATGCTAAGATTAACCAAGCTAGCTAAAGTGTGTGTTAATTATGAGTATGCAAGCAGTCAATAAAAGGTTAATGCAAAAGTCAAAGGATAAATTTATTTCAGTATTGCATCACTCTACTGACTAAATGACTAACATTATGCTTTGTTTTTAATCGATATATTTTACAGTAATGCGTGAGCCATTGATTTGAAAAACAGTCTTCTTTCTAATAGTTAAGTTTTGCAACTATCAAGTATCAACATTCTTAAAACAGTCCTTTTTCAGTGCAGATACCTTTTTGTTCCCTTGTCAGGGACAGGAATGCATATAAGCCAAGAGGCAGACTCAGGTTCTGCTGATGAATGTGTTAAATGCAAATAAGACTTACCTAGGAATCTAAATAAGGTACCATGAATTAGGGTCCCTGAATTCTATTGCACAGTTTGTCTACTCCAGAGAAGTGTAGTCAAATCAGATCAATAGGGGTCAATCTGCAGCTCAGACTGCACAGGAGTGTTAAGAGTGAGGAGAGGATATAAACAGTCCTGTTTCCTAGATGGTACTAATTTAGCTGTCTACACCTGCCAGCTCAAAGACCAAGGGAGATCATGTGGAAATTCGTAAGGTAAGACAAGGAAGATGGGTCTGGCCATCTCCCCCTTGTACTGATATGGTCAGAAAGGGAGGATGGGATATTTGCTTTGCAGGTACAAAAGCACATGCTCACCCATACGTTCTTACTCCAGCATTCCTGAAATTGTTATGTTTTATATGGGAGCTATTTTCTCCCTCCATTCATGCTAGAATAAAGGTGTTACTGAGCTGTTATTCAGAACTTCAAAGTAACTTTGAAAACAACAGCCCAGGTAAAAACAGCATTCGGATCACCCTGCTGAGACAAATGGCTTCACTAAACCCATATTGACATCAGTTAAAATGACTCAACTCTGCTAACATGAGTGCTGTTCTGAGTAAGAGCAACAGCAGTAACCTCTTCAGACACCATTTTCCATTCTTAAAACTCACAGTGACATTGCACATATGGGTCTGGTCAAATATGGGTTATTAATGTTCCAACAGAGACCTCTGCTGTGTGAACACAAATCCTAATAGTGTTTTTACCTGAGACACAGAGATTTGCTTGCAGGTTTCGATTTTTTCATCCTTGTCCTTCAAATCTTTCCTTTGCATGAAAAA